ATCCCCCAGCAACAGCCATGTAGCTTGGAGAATGTGGGCACTTATGAGAGGGAGAGTGCAGTGATTATGAGGCTTTGCAATGAACTCAGTATCTCCCTGTCATAGCAGGAAGCAGGGGGAACATGTGGACAGGCCCTGACCAAAGAGCAATTGCTGATCCCAGTGGTGAGAGCTTGAGTCCCAGCAAGCCTCATCATGCAGGCTGCAGTGCTCTGGGGCTTTAAGTGAACTTGAGGCGACAAGGACTGCAATTCCTAGGCAAGTTCAGAGTTGGTGGACTGGGAGACACATGACCTACTGAGACACAAGCTGGGGTGACTAAGGGAGTGCTTGTGCCACCTCTCCTTCATCCTCCAGCAGTAGGTGTGTGGCAGGGAGAAATCGGTGTTCTTGGTAAAGGGAGAGCACAGCAACTGGGGGATTTTCCATTGAACTCAGTGCTGCTCTGTCACAGCAGAGACCTGGCAGGATTCAACACTTGCTGATTAAAGAACCCCATGGCCCCGAATACCCAACAGCAATACCCAGGTTATATGCGGTGGGCCTTGGGCTCTGATATGTGCTGGCTTCAGATGTGACTTCACACATTCCCAGTTGTGGCATCTATGGTGAAAAACTCTTTCTATTTGAGAAAAGCAAGGGAAAAAGTGAAGGGGACTCTATCTGGCACCTTAGGTGCCTGCTTGGCCTCAGTGGGGTAGGGCACCAACCAGACTCTTGGTTAGCATTTCTAGACCTGCCTTGGGCCAGAGAGGAACCCACTGTCCTGAAGGCCCAGAAGCATGTCCCAGGCCTGGAAGCATGCATCAGAAACTGACAAAAGAGCCTTTGGGCTCTAAGTGAACATGGGGCCTAGCAAAACTCCCCATGGGTTGGTGGTGGTGGCAGTGGTGGTCACAGAGAGAGGCTCTTTGGCCAATGGAAATGAAAGGGAAGAGTGGGAAGGACTTTGTCTTATGGTTTGAGTGCCAACGTAGCTGCAGTAGAATAGAATATCAGCTAAATTTCTAAGGTTTTTTACTTCAATCCATGGCTCCAAGATAGCCTCTCTGGACCCAGCTGGGGCCCGGGGGAACTCACTGCCCTGAAGGGAGCGATACTAACCTGGCTGGCTTTGCCATCTGCTGATTGTAGTCTCTAAAGCTTTGAGTGAACTTGGGTGGTAGTGGTGATAGCAGGCCTTGGGTGAGACTAAGTACTGTGCTGGCTTCATGTCTGAACCAGCACAGTCCCACTGGTGGTGGCCACAGGGGTGCTTGTGTCCTCCTACCCCCAGTTCCAGGAAGCTCAGCACAGGGAGAGAGAGAGAGACTCTATTTGTTTGGGAGAAAGTAAGGGAAAAGAACAAGAGTCTCTGCCTGATAATTCAGAGAATTCTTCCAGACTTTATCCAGGAAGAAAGGTACTGCCACCAAGTACCAAGAAAGGCATTGGTGGCAGTACCTTTCTCTACAAGTCTGCAAGAACTGCAGCATTTTTAGGTCTCAGGTCCAAGTCCCTTAGAAGATCTGGAACACCTTCCCAAGAAGAATGAACAAAAATGAGCCCAGACTTCCGATTAATTTAACCAAATTAGTGGAAGATCTTTATAATGAAAACTAAAAATCTGATGAAAAAAATTGAAGAGAATATCAAAAAATGGAAATATATTTGAATTTGATACTCATGGATTGGAAGAATCAATATTGTTAACTTTTCCATGCTACCTAAAGTAATCTGCAAATTCCATGCAATCTCTATCCAAATATGAAAGACATTCCTCATAGAAATAGAAAAAACAATCCTAAAATTTATATGGAACCACAAAAGACCAAGAATAGCCAAAGCTATTCTAAACAAAAAGAATGAAACTGGAGGAATCGTATTATCTGACTTCAAATTATACTACAGAGCTATAGTAATCAAAACAGCATGATACTGGCATAAAAACTGACATACAGACTGATGAAACAGAATAGAGAACCCAAAAACAAATTCAAACACCTACAGAGACCTCATTTTCAACAAAGTTGCCTAGAACATATGGGGAAAGGACAGTCTCTTCTATAGATAGTGCTCAGAAAATGGGATATCCATATGCAGAAGAATAAAACTAGACACCTATCTCTCACCATATTCAAAAAATCAAATCAAAATGGATTAAAGACTTAAATACAAGACTTCAAACTATGAAAGTGCTAAAGAAAAACACTGGGGAAACTCTTCAGGACATTGGTCCAAGCAAAAATTTCTTGAGTCATACCACACAAGCACAGGCAACCAAAGCAAAAATGAACAGCCAGGATCACATCAAGTTAAAAAACTCCTGCACAGCAAAGGAGACAACCAACAAAGTGAAGAGACAACACACAGAATGGGAGAAATTATTTCAAACCACCCATCTGACAAGGGATTCATAATCAGAATATATAACCAGCTCAAACAACTTCATTTTCAAAAAATCAAATAATCCAATGTTAAAATGGGCACAAGATTTGAATAGACATTTCTCAAAATAAGACATACAAATGGCAAACAGGCCTATGAAATGGTGATCAACATCACTGACCATCAGAGAAATGCAAATCAAAACTACAATGAGAAATCATCTCACCGCTGTTAAAATGGCTTATATCCAAAAGGCAAGCAATAGCAAATGCTGGTGAGAATATGGAGAAAAGGGAACCCTTGTATACTGTTGGTGGGAATTAGCACAACCACTATGAAGTACAGTTTGGAGGTTCTGCAAAAAAAACTAAAATTGAGCTACTATATTATCCAGCAATCCCACTGCCGGATATATGCCCAAAAGAAATGAAATCTGTGCATCGAAGAGATATCTGCATTCCCATGTTTGTTGCAGTACTGATCACATGCGTTGGTATTTGGAAGCAACCTAAATGTCCATCAACAGATGATTGCATAAAGAATATATGGTACATCACCATGGAGTACTATGCAGCCATAAAAAGGATGTCACTTTGCAACAACATGGTTGGAACTGGAGGTTATTATATTAAGTGAAATAAGTCAGATACAGAAAGACAAATTTCACATGTTCTCACTTATTTTAGGGTCTAAAAATCAAAGCAATTGAACTCATGGAGACAGAGAGAAGATGGATGGTTACAAGAGGCTGAGGCTGGGAAGGATAGCACAGGGTGGGGAGAAGAGTGGGGGTTGTTAATGGGTACAAAATATATATGTAGTTAGAAAAAATGAATAAGATATTATTTGGTTGCAAACAGGGTGACCAAAGACAATAAAAGTTGAATTGTACATTTAAAAACAATTAACAGAGTATAATTGTAACATAAAGTATAAATGCTTGAGGGGATGGATAGCCCATTTTCCATGATATGATTATTGCTTATTGCATGCCTATAGGAAAGTAGCTAATATACCTCATAAATAAGCACACCCACTATGTACCCACAATTTTTTTTTAAAGCCAGGTTACCGAAGCCAGAAATCCAGGAGCCAGCCTTGACTTCTCTCTCCCTCACACCAAAATCCAATCAGTCTTGATTTCTGTAGATTTTTTAATGCACCCAGTGCCTTATTTCAAATCCCCATCACCTTTTACTTAGACCAGAGTCAGAGTTCCGAACTAGTCTCCTTGCCTTCATTTTTTTCTGCCTCCATACTCTGTAGTGTATCCAGTTCTATTGCTTTTTGCAAATGCAAAATAATCAGAGTTCTCCTTTCTTAGAAAGATCCTCCAGTGGTAATCCACCACCCATGGCAGTGGTTTGTAATCATTTTTATAGCAGATCAATGTTATTTTCAAATAAATATCATATAAAAGCCTAATATCTATAAATAGATATGAGCTGTATTTTATTGGGATAAACTTACATTATAAGATATAAATGTATGACTTTGTAAACCATTAAGAACACAATAGGGAGGTTTGGCAAAATTTAAAAATTCAAAATCATCAGCAATGCAAAGATCAGCATCGTTTTGATATTTATTTCTCTATTTTCTTTTATCGCATATATTTTTTAAAATTCTGATTCATGTCATTAGGTAGCTACCAGTGATAATAGTTTATTGCTTTTTCCAAGAAGTTCACCTTTCAAACTTAAAGTATCGTTCATTTAAAAAAAGATAGCTCCACTCTCACAGCTTCACTTGACTAGCCTTTAAAAAATAAATAAATAAGTAAATAAAGATAGCAAGATGCAAATACTAATGAGTTAACCTGTCAGTACATATCACTTGGTTTCTGGCTTTTACTTGGTTAAAATGTGGTATGTAGCATTCAGTTTGAGTGTGTATTTAAGATCTGTTTGCTTTTCTTTTAAAATGAAAGTCAAAGCAAACACTTGTGCAATCCTTCAGTCTCCTCCTTAGAACCTTGTTACCATGGAATAGAGTTTGAAAACCAGTGATCTAAATTCTAAACCCCAAATCCTTTAGTATTTAGCATGAAAATGTAAGATCCCATTTCATTTGGATTTTATCAATCTCGCTGCATTTCCCACCAGTGCCAAATTTTCACCCAGTTTCCTAACTCTATCTTCATCTTTCATAGGGTTATAGTTTTACACTAGTTATTTTCTCTGCCAAATCCTGTCTTCTAACCTGAATTTCTATCAACTTAATTCCAAAGTTAAAACATTAACTCTCTATGATGCTTTCTTTGAATGTGCATATAGGACCCTGTATGCACTTCTGTCTTAAACTTGTGTTGTCTTGTGTGATAATCATCACTTCCTCTCAACTGTGAGCTCCTAAGAAGGGACTAATTTAACTTTCCTGGAGGTCTCAGGTACATTCAACATGCCTGTAACCTAGTAATCTTTCCTTAATGTTTTAAATTCATAAACTCATTTATTAATATTAATAATAACCAGTAGAGTAGCTAAAACTGTGGATTTGCATAAAGTTGTCAACAGATAATCCTCTCATTGATTGACACTTTAGGTTAAATAAGTACTAAATAGAAATAACTCTTCTAAATCATGCTAATTTTCATTTTAACTTCATTTTTCTTTAATAATGGCCTCACCCACCAACATAGGAAAGCAGGATCACCAGCAAGAGAACGACAGCACAGATACATGGAATCAGGATCAGCAGTAGGAACCGGAGGAGGTTAGAAGTCGCCAGCTTCTGAGAGCAGCCATCGCCCATGTTATTGTCATCAGCTCCCAAGACCTAAAGTAAAGGAGGAAAATGCAACATGGTTTTAATATTACAGAACTCAATGCATGCTATGACATTTTAGATTAATAGCTATTCATTTAGAACAGCATAATTCTAACATGACTTTACTGTTTGTGCTATAGGGTATGAAATGAGCTTAGTCACCAAATCATTCCAGTAAATGAACAGATAACTGTACAGAGCAAACTCTCTATTTCTGAAACATTTTTCAGGAGTATATGAACTTTAAACAATATCCCATTTTGCTTTCTTAAAACATAGTTGTCAATTTGGTATGATTCCAAAGGCCTATGAATGACCATGACAAAACCTTACCCTGGCCCAGAGCTATGATAGAAGCGAAGACTGCTTAATACAGTGATAAAAAATTGGTAAGTAGGAATAGACAGGACATTATCCAGACTTTATTCTTTTTGTCTCATTAGTCTAAACCAAATCTGAATGAATCTGGATAAAATAAGTTTTTGGTCATTAATAATTCAGCCAGCCTCACTGTTACTGACCATGCATTTAGTGACAAGTTGAAATATAAGGAAGAGTCTGCCCTGATTGCCAATTATATGCTAACAACTCTGAGGACATCCTCAGCCGTCCATGCTGCTCCTACAGCCCATCCATTGTGAGAGGATAAAGTGCAAAAATGATGGTTCAGATAAAGTTCTTGTCTTCAAATGCTTCAAATTTTGCTTAGTTCAATCTCTTGCCAGAAATGGTATCTGGAAATTCATTTACTATAGATGGCTAGCTTAGAGCAATGACAGCTTCAAACGACATCTGAGATGGTACTAAAAGGCTTTGAATCACTATAAGAAACTCTCCTGGTCTTCTTAACAAAGGCATTTCTCACAACTCTCTCTTAGCCTTCTGATGCATTTTCTCCTCTGACAGTTTCAGAACTTGGACTATAACCTCAGTATAACTAACTCCTGAATCTCTCCTGCATGCTGAACTCCTTTCAGAGTTACACCACATACTTCCAATGCCTGGTGGTTAGCAGCACCTCTTCCCAACAAGTCCAAAACTGAGAGGAACCGCCCTCTGTCTCTCTATCTTCACACTGGTTCTCCTGACTTCCATATTTGTGTTTACAGAAATTCCTCCATTCTAATAACCCAAAGATTCCCCATTTCATGATCCCCATATGCCATATGTCACCAGGTTTTGTTGGTTCTTCCTCTGTAATAAATACCAAACTTTTAATTTTTTTAAATCAATGAGCTTTGAGAAAGACCCTTATATTAAGTTGTCCTAACAGAATGGTCCCGTAATATTCTCAGGACTTCCTGACCAGTATTTGATTATTTCCCATGGATGCAAAGGCAACTTTGATGGGTTCTTTCAATTACAAGGCATATATGATTCTCCATTTCTGCTTTATTCCCTCTACATAAGAATATGGGTTCACTAACCCATATTGCAAACCACGTTCACCACCTAATATGATTATACCTTTTGTAATTTTAGGAATTCTCCATGACAGACATTATTTGAAATAACTTACATTGCTAACTTGAGAAGAGCTTCATTTTCTAGGTTAATGTCTAACTGATCCATATCCTCTGTACCTGGTTTAAGCTATCAGCCAATGTGTTACCATTTACAATTAATTTATAATTGATCTTCAAGAAGACATAGCACTGGTGCAATATAATATGAGATCTGCAACAGCACATGGATTACAACACTAACATTGGATAGGCAGTGCCCTTTCAGGCTCGTATACAACACTTACTTACAAAAAAAATTAGTAAATTAAAGTGTAGGACTACAGGCCAACAAAGTTAGCAGCAGAAACAAATTGTTTATTTTACTTAGTTATTGAACACCTACGAATTATAATAATAGTGACGGATGTGACAATTACTTCAAGCTACCGTCCCTCAAAAGCTCACAGTCTTGTAGGAGAAATGATATGTACACGAATAACATATCTATATTGCAAGGTAGCAAATGATAAGCACCATGAAACTTATAGCTAAAGTGACATAAGAATTCAAAAGATAGAAATATGATTTCTTGCTGGAAGATCACATAAGACACTGTAGAGAGAGCAACCCTGAATCAGCCATAATTCTGAGAAAAGTACGCCTGCAAAGGTCTGTTATGGGTTTTTAAAAGCTGCAAAATATCTACAGAGAGGTAAGAAAGTATGAAATGTATTTAACTCCTGCAACAATGAAGACGCTTCCTTGCTAAGGTGGTCGCAGATGCATTATAGGGATAATGTCGGGTGATGAATTCACAATGGCTCATTGCCATCTGGACTCCTGGAGCCAGATATATCTCATTTAGCATTCGTACTTAAAGTGTCAGTGGAGAAAATAATAGAGACTCATTTTAATATCTCAGCTAAGTATATATCAACAAGTACTGGGCCTCCAAAAACCATACTCATGATTAGACCAAATATTTTCTCAGTGACAAGAGAACTGATTGCTTTTTTCAAAGGGAGAGGAGGAAGAAATACGCAGGAGACATCAGCACTTTCTTCTTTAATAACTTGCATAACTTTCCTCTTGCACTCATGGCCGCTTAGGACTGTTGCAAATGCTACATCATACACAGGCCCTTGGAGGTTCCACTGAACACAAGGCAACTCTCAAACTTCACTGTTGAGTAAATGCCAGGTGAAATAAACAACCAGATCATCCTTAAGCTTTGTTTCAATGGACTCTAAATGATCCTCTCTCCAAATGGCATCCCTCTTCCACAAGCACCTTCCCCAGCCTTGAAACTAAGCCGAGCACAGGCACAGAATTCCATGGCTAGGGCAGGGAACAACACATCTTGATTGGACCTGCACATATTCGTAAAGCATGTCATTCTTATGTTTTTGTTGTTTTTATTTTCAGATTTGGTTTTGGGGTTTTTTGGTTTTGTTTTGTTTTGTTTTGTTTTGTCTTGTTTTGTTTTGTTTTGTGACAGGGTCTCACTCTATTACCCAGGCTGGAGTGCAGTGACATGATCTTGGTTCACGGCAACCTCTGCCTCCTGGGCTAAAGTGGTTCTCCTGCCTCAGCCTCCTGAGTGACCGGGATAACAGGTGTGCACCATGCATCACTCCCAGCTGATTATTTTGTAGAGACAGGATTTCACCATATTGCTCTGGCTGATTGCAAATGTCTGGGCTCGAGCAATCCACCCAACTTAGCCTCCCAATTGTTCTTATGTTTTACGAATCTTGTTAGTGAAAATATTTCTTGTGTCTTAAGAACAGGCTGGGCAGGGTGGCTCACGCCTATAATCCTAACACTTTGGGAGGCTGAGGCGGGTGGATTGCTTGAGCTTAAGAGTTTGAGATCAGCATAGGCAACATGGTGCAACACCGTCTCTACTAAAATACAAAAAATTAGCTGGGCGGGGCAGTGTGCACCTGTAGTCCCAGCTACTCAGGAGGCTGAGGCAGGAGAATCAATTGAACCTGGGAGGCGGAGGTTGTGGTGAGCCGAAATCCCTCCACTGTACTCCATGGAGGACAGAGCGAGACTCCGTCTCAAAAAAAAAGAAAAAAAAACTAATTATTTTAAAAGCTGTCATGTTGTTTTGTATAATGTACACTGACTGGCACAATGTACCATTGTGCCACAATCCTAATGCCATCTTGGTGTCATCTGAGAGGCCAAAATTTCAGATAGCCAGTTCCTCCTTCCTGAAGCACTTTATTCCTTTGGCTTCTCTTTCTCCTACTTCTCTGGTCATTCTTTCTCTTTTCGGAGGCTCAGTTCTCACATTCACTTGCTCCCCAGGCAATGTCACCACACATATAACTTCAATCAGCAGCCCTCCCTGGGTGACTTTCATCTTTAAATGACAACCATAGATCTTTACCGATCTCCAGACCATTATAGGCAACTGACCACTTGACATCTTCTCATTAGATGTTGCAAAAGTAATTCAAACCCAACAAGTCTGAAACCAAATAAACCATTTTCATCCCCATATCTGGTATTCTTCCAGGGTTTGCTATATCAAAAAAAAGGTAATTTCACAGCTATATTTGTCAGGCATCGTTTGGGCACTTGGGATCTATTAATATGCAAAACGAAACTCGTAGATGATACATTTTAGTAAAAATAAACATCATGCCTCACCTGAAATACTGCAAATGCCTCCTCCTGTCTGGTTTACCTATATTTATCGATGCACTCCCTAACCTGTTCTCCGCGCTATAGCCAGAGTAAGAAAGAGGCTTATTATCTTTGGATAATGAGAAAAGACTACATAAAAAATGACCCCAAAGCAGAAGTAATTCAAGAACGCAGAGCCTGGAACCAGAGCTGATCATGAGAACCATGCACCCACAGGATGTGAGAGGGCTTTGGATTTACACAGCGAGTACGAGGTTTTGAGTCCATTTTATCAAGTTTGCAAAGGTCAAGGAGACCATCATTGACATTTCAAGTACATAAGTCTTTACCCTCTTTTACCTTCAAGCAGCATTTGACAACACATGGTACATTCTTAAGGGCACTACCACAGCTGCAAGTGGCAGAGAATATTGGAGAGCTTGTTTGGAGGTTCTAGCAGGGGAGTGCAGCTACTTGACTACCCTTGACCAAAGATGGGTCCTCATTTATCTGGGATGGTCATCCCAAGATAAATTCGACCAAGCAAACAGCTTCAGGAAGTGGTGAGGGAGGAAGGGGACACCTGCCTAGCCAGCCAGATCAGCTGAATCAACCCTGATGATCAATGGGGTGACAGAAGTCACAGCCAAACTGCCCTCACATCCAGCAGAAACTATTTGAATACAAGGAACTACAGTCCTGCCAACCCCTCAGTCAGAAGAATTACTCCCAAGGCCAGAGCTAGGGCTTACCAAAGAGCCAATGAACCAGATGTCTCTGATTAGCGGTTTTAGGTGGGTTTGTCCAGATAATTCTTGGAGGTGGGAATAGCTGCCAACAACCGGGTTACCCTAAAGCAGGAGTTCACCCCAGAGGAAACCAAGTGAGAATTATTTTCTAATTGGTTGGGCTATCTTTTGGGAT